GCCTCCCAAGTAGCTGGGACCACAGGCGCCTGCCACAACGACCGGCCATTTTTTGGCTGCAGCCATCATTGTTGTTTGGCAGGCCCGGGCTGGATTCGAACCCTCCACCTCAGGTTCATGTGGCTGGCGCCCTAGCCCCTTGAGCCACAGACCCCGAGCCAGCATTTTTTTATAATATTGTATTTAATGGCTATGTGTCATCCTAAATGATCACAATTTACTTAACCATTTTCTTTTCTTTTCTTTCTTTCTTTCTTTCTTTCTTTTTTTTTTTTTTTGAGACATAATTTCACTTTGTCACCCTCGGTAGAGTGCTGTGGCGTCATAGCTCAGCAACCTCCCTTGGGCTCAGGCAATTCTGTTGCCTCAGCCTCCCGAGTAGCTGGGACTACAGGCACCCACCACAATGCCAGGCTATTTTTTTTGTTGTTGCAGTTTGGCTGGGGCTGGGTTCCAACCCACCACCCTAGGTACACAGGCCGGTGCCCTACTCACTGAGTACAGGCGCCACTCTACTTAACTAATTTCAATTGCTGGGGGCTTAGAGGCCATTTCCACTAACTTGCTATTTATAAAACACCAAACCGCACTCACTGCCTTATACAGTAACCTGTTCCCTACTTAGGTTTTATTCTATTTATTTCCCAAACGAGAAAACAGTAGGTCAAAGGGTGTGTAGATTCACTGCCAAACTGATGTTCAAAAGCTTCACATCTGCCTCTACAAGGGTGGGAAAGAAACAGTTTCCTAGCTTCTTAGTCCCTTCCTTCATTAGCCTCTGGTAAAATTTTTACCTTAAACCAAAAGAGAGGAAAGAAAAAAAAAAAAGCTGCTCGTTTATAATTAATTTTTCTCAGGTGACCTGGGAAGAAAAGTGTTTCCCACCCGTTTGCGGATCTTGTCTGTTGGGATCGATGTGGAGAGCTCCCAGCACTGAGGGCCGTCCCCTCACTCCCCACCCCACCAGCCCACTCGGCTGAACTTGGGTGGGTGCGGTCGGTCAGGGAGCGCCAAGGGCACCTGACCCTCCCGGCCCCCGCAGAAAGGCAGGCGGCGGTGCCCCACGCAAGGCGGTTCACCGCAGCCAGGACATAAACAACTTCGCTTCCCAAAAGAGAACAAACAGGTCTCAAATTCAGGTCTCTGACCACAGCTGCATACACGAGTGTGGGGGCTCTGGAGTCCACCAAGTAGGATCTCAGACTCCGGCGCGGCCGTGTCATAGCAGGGTGCTGCCAGATGACTTGGAGCCTCAGCTTCCTACCCGGTAAAATAGTCGGGACGCGGAGCTCGCACGAGCGCTCGAAGGGTCAAAGCAGCTAGGGCGAAGGGTCAAAGCAGCTAGGGCGGGTGCCAGAGTCCGCAGCCAAGGGCCCTCCACGACTCCGCCGGCCCACGTGGCGCGTGCGCGCGAGTGGGGTGATCGTGGTCTCGGACGCAGCGTGTCCCTCCCGCCTACAGGCCCGCCCCCTCACCTCACCTCACCTCTGCTCTCCTCCCCATCACCTGAGCCGGTGCCGCTCAGGAAGGCCAAGCACCGGCGAGGGTCGGCGGGGAAGGAAGCGTCTACATTCCCTGCTCGTCCCCTTCCCTACCTTGGACCCTCGCTCTCTTCTCACCAGCTTGCGCCGATGTCACCCGGTCGGTCCCGTCAGTTCCGCGCCTGCGCACAGCCCACAGCTGCTGCCACCCGGGCTTCACCTCACCCAAGTGGCCCCTAGTCTGGACCCTTGCTCTAGAAAGAAGCGCCCTCCCACCACCTCTGATTGGTTCATTTGCGGAGGCGGGCCCTTGAAGGATAGAGATAATGTCCAATAGATGAAGAGAGCGAGAGGCAAGCCGAGGGGTGGGGCCCGGAGGCCCAATGCCGCCTCTCCATCAGCCCGGGTTCTGGCGGTATTTGCAAGCTGGGCTATTGGACCAGGAAGTCCCAAGGCTAAATACTCCAACTATGCTGCCGAAACACTCTGCGCACTCGGAACTGAGCTGCTTCTCCAGATACTTACTGTTGTTACCCACAGACGGCTTCCTCGCTGCTTCAATGTTGACAAGTCCTGACCCCTCTCCTAAGCACCACGCCCTTATGTTCAGCCACCTGCACACGCTCCCCTGGAGGCCATACCGTCGCCTCAGACAACTTGGCCTGCACTCTTTTCCTGCCAAACCTTCTCCCTCTCTTCTCCCTTAACCCAGTAATGACCCCACCATCTGCACAGAGAACCAAGCCAGAAGCCCGCTGGTCATCTTCCCTCTGCCTCCTTTTCTCTCTTTTCAGTTTTCTGATCGTGTCAATCTCAATCTATCTATCCTATCTATCTCTGAGATAGTCTCACTATTGCCCCAGGCTAGAGTGACATGTCATCAGCCTAGCTCACAGCAACCTCAAACTCCTAGGTTCAAGCAATCCTCCTGCCTCAGCTTCCTGAAAAACCAGTCGTCAGGTTTCGCTCTTGTTCAGGTCCATCTCAAACTCCTGAACTCAAGTAATCCTCCCACCTTGACCTCCTAGAGTGCTAGGATTACAGGTGTGAGCCACCTTGCCAGGCCTTTTCCTGTCAATTTTGAGCTTCAAGTCAGTGACAGGCTTTTTAAAAAAAATAAATAATAATACTAGGCTTGGCGCCTGTGGCTCAAGCGGCTAAGGCGCCAGCCACATACACCTAAGATGGTGGGTTCGAATCCAGCCTGGCCCACCAAACAACAATAGTGGCTGCAACCAAAAAATAGCCAGACGTTGTGGCGGGCGCCTGTGGTCCCAGCTACTTGGGAGGCTGAGGCAGGAGACTGGCTTGAGCCCAGGAGTTGGAGGTTGCTGTGAGCAGTGAAGCCATGACACTCTACCCAGGGGGACAGCTTGAGGCTCTATCTCAAAAAAAAAAAAAAAAAAAATCCTACCTCCTAAACGTCTCTCCAGCCAAGTCCTCCAAGTCTCTCATTCTTCCCCTACAGAGCAGCCAGAACAACCCACCCAAACCTCAAATTCCTGCTCTTAAGTCTTCATTGGCTTCTAACCAACCACTGGGCCTTGAACTGACAATTACATTGGCCTGCCACTGACAATTAACACAGCCTGGTTAGCAGTTGGTACAGTAAAATAGACAGAGAAACAGGACCTCAGATAGTCAGTCCCTCGGTACCTTTTTGTCCTAATACAGGATTCCAGTTATCACCTGCTTCTTTATGAATTATTATAATAGAACTCTTCTAACTGTGATATATCAAATGGAGCCCTTCACTGGAGGCAGAGAAAAATAGGATGACCAGAAAAAGCCACTTGGATCTATGAGAACGTTGACCTCCAGAAGGAAGATGCCTGGAGAGCCTAGCCAGACTACCTGGACCCAAGGACACATCTGCAATAAAACTGCTCCTATCAGCCTTGCCCTGGAGCATTCACCCTTTACCCTTCCAGGAAGATCTAAATCAGGATTTTTGGTATCTTTGTTCTTTGTCGGGCATGGTGGCTTACGCTTGTAATCCTAGCACTCTGAGAGGCTGAGGTGGGTGGATTGCCTGACCTCAGGAGTTCAAGACCAGCCTGAGCAAGAGCAAGAACCCTGTCTCAGGCATTGTCGTGAGGGCCTGTAGTCCCAGCTACTTGGGAGGCTGAGGCAATAGAATCGCTTGAGCTTCAGTTTGAGGTTGCTGAGCTATGATTAAAGTGACCAGACACCCTGCTTTTGGCAGGACAGTCCTTATTTTTAACAATTTGTCCCGTGTCCCACGGCATTTAAAAAAAGCCCCAATTTTTGGAAAGAATGCATGACAAGCTAGGGAACAGCCAGAGAATGGGAAGGGAATATACGGTTTTCGGCTGCCATGTGGCTATTTCTTCAGGATATGCGTTTTATATTATTTTTGTTAATTTTATAATGTTAAACTTTAATAATAACAAATAATTGTTGAGAACTGATTATCAAGAACTGCTTATCAAAGTCTGCATTGTTGTCAGGCCCCGCCCCCCCCATGGTGTTCCACTTTACCAATGTTAAAATCTGGTCACCTTACCTATGATGTCATGGCCCTCTATCAAGGATGGCAAAGTGAGACTCTGTCTCAAAAACCCCCCAAAACCTCTCTTCTTAGATGTTAAGGGAAATATTTCAGCCCAAACTAAACATAACTCTAAGGGATTCTAATAAATGGGTATAAGACAACAGGGAAGTATACTTTTTTCCCTGTACAACTAGTTCATTTGGGGTTATAAAAGGTTATCCTTCAGTCCTTCAGGACAGAGGAAACTGTGTTTAATTACTCAATCTGCCGTCGTTTATGGGTGCCCACAAAGTGTCAGGCACTGGGGTGACGTCTGCAGAAACACAGATGCCCGCCCCCTCTACTTTCCTGAGAAAAATTACATCACTCCACTAAGTTTGAAACCTCAGAGTTTTTCTGAACTACCACAACACACACTTCCAAAGTAAAAATGCACCCCTAAGGATTTTGTGTGTGTTGAAACTTTCGTTTAAAGGCCATAATCAGGTGGGCACAGTGGCTCATACCAGTGATCCTACCACTCTGGGAGGCCAAGACAGGTGGATTGTTTGAGCTCAGGAGTTCAAGACAAGCCTGAGCAGGAGAGAGACCCCCATCTCTACTAAAAATAGAAAAACTACCCAGGTATAGTGGCAGGTGCCTGTAGTTCCAGCTACTTGGGAGGCTGAGGCCTGTGCCCAAGAGTTTGAGGTTGTTGTGAGCTGTGATGCCATGGCACCCTACCCAGGACAGCAGAGTGAGACTCTGTAAATAAATAAATAAATAAATGCCATAACCAGTTCAGTTGCCCTATATATGATGGCCAGCCCAAGCCCCTCCTCTTGCCTCTCAGGGCTTCCTTGTCCCAAGGTCTTACAAGAAAAAGAATGAAGAAAAAGGACTTATATCTTCTTTGGGAAAGGGAATGCACAGCTCAAATGGCATTTTTTGAAAAAATATGTAAAAATATTCAGCCTCACTCAAAATCCGAGAAGTGTGGATTAAAATGACCTGCTGATTTTTGTCCCATCTTAAAATGACCTGACAAATACAAAAACCTCGGTTGAATACCTGATGTTGGTGAGTGGGCGCTGGCTGCCACCTCAGCAGGTGGGAATGTAAATTAAGGCTACCTAGTGGGCATACCTTTCATCCACTCATTCCACTTCTTTTCATTTATCCTGATGAGACGAATGTGAACATTATGAATTTTCTACAATAAATAGACATGACTCCATCTGGCGTAACTTGTATAATCAGGGAGGAAAAAAGCAAAATTATTTGGAAAGCAGCCACGAGAGTGACTGGGGTAGGGAAATGGTTATCTTGGATGATTCCAGCAGAGGCCTCTGTTTCCTTAGATATGCAAACAAGACTTTCTATGGAATGTTGGGAAAGCTGAATTTGAAAATGATTTTGTGTCAGGAGGACTGAGATGGCAGCGGCCAGTTTTAGTCTATCAAAACTGCAACCTGGGTGGCGCCTATGGCTCAGTAAATAGGGTGGCAAGTTCGAACCCGGCCCTAGGCCAAACTGTAACAACAACAACAACCAAAAAAAAACCTGTAACCTGATATCTGAAAGAATTTGTAAAAGCCTCAGGTATCTTTGTTCTTTGCCAATAAGAAGAGCTTGCCCTCGCAGCGGTTCCCTGGCATTTCCACTTCATGGAGCTGAATAAACCCAGAAGAGCCCTTTTGCTTGTCTGAGCACATCTGTGCCATGATGCTATCCCAGAGACCTGTGCCTTCCCAAATTGAGTCATTTAACTTCACCACCTTTCAGTCAATCAGACTTTGCCTGGCACTGTTCTCTTCCAGAACTGGCCACACACCTGGGGCACCCCCCCTCACCCCGACAGGACCCCTTTCAGAGGGAATGGTTACCAATCCCTTACAGCAGCAAGCTTAGGGGCCATTTAGCAAGTCTTGAAGCTGTGCTAGTGCCAAAGGCTTGGGAGTTTTTGAAAAATACGAGTCCTTCTTCAGCCCTTTTCTCAAATCTGCTCTGAAGCAACAGCATTAACAGTATTACCACTTAATGACATTGTCAAAGGGCCTCAAAATTCTTGTGTTAAGCTCCTAGAACTAAAGCCAAAGCTGAAGCTCCCATCTTCTCTGGAGGAGGATGGGCAGACCCTTTGGGGGAAACATGACTTGGGTTTCCCAGTCTCCTTAAGGCTTTTCCAAATGGGGGATATCTCTTTCAACCCCTCCCACCATCCTGGTCCCCCCACCCCCACTCCGCAGCAGCTGAACCCAAAGCTGAAGCCATCTGTGCCCCAAACGCAAAGTAATCACATCCTTTGCCCATCCCCATTTGGACCTTATTCACTGGTGGGGCCAGAACTTTCCATCCCCCTAGGGGTCCCAAGCCTGAGGCCCAGCTTTGCCACCTACATGCTGTGTGACCCTGGCCACCCACTTCTTCTCTGAACCTCTGTACAACTACTCGGAAGGTCAGCTGTGTGGTCCTGGTGGTTGTCATTTGCAGTCCAGTTTGTTAATGACTCATATCCTTGGGTGAAAGTAGGTCTGGAGAAGAGGGGAACAGGCCCGGGAGTCCGGCAGCGGGAAGAGGAAGTTAGAGGAGGAGCCTCGCCCAGCTTGGGGCGCGAACTAGCGCCGCGGCTGCGGCGGAAGCAGCCGGCAGGGGGCGCTGCCCCGCAAGCTTGCGGTCCGGAGGCCCCCGCCGAGGGAGAACGTGGCGTCTGCCCCGGCTGCAGGCAAGTGTGGTCTTTGAGCCCTAGCCTGTGATACCCAGGTA